CTACGTCTTCTCTCTCTCTCTCTCTCTCTCTCTCTCTCTCTCTCTCTCTCTCTCTCTCTCTCTCTCTCTCTCTCTCCTCCCTCTCCAACCCCTTTCACGCCACGCTATGATGCCACCCTCCCATGGTAGCGTAATGCATCCCCTGTCGCCATCCCAGCTGCTGCCTCCGTCGTTGCTGCCATCGCTCGCGAAAATGTTTCTTACAGCTGCTATCACGGAATACTTTCTTAATTTAAATTGCGAGATGATAAATGTGAAATAATGCATTTCTTTCTTAATTTAAATTGCGAGATAATAAACAAGATAAACTAAAGCAAATGTAAAATATAAATGTAGGTAAATTTCTTTTTCCAGGTAATATTACATATATTACATACTATACCGTTACGAAGCCAGTTACTTTGGTAATTTATTATTGAGTTATTTTTTTCAAATAAATATAAAATGTTAATTTAAACGTATAATTTAACGTATAAGAAAGTCCATTGAATATCGAGAAATTAGTATATAATATATAGAATTGAGAAATTAATATATAATTTATAAAATTGTAAATTTATGATCAAACGGAATTTCGTCAATTTATGACGCACGAGATGCATAGAGATTTGCACAATTGTCTAGGTAAAATTAGTTATTAATTTCTTGCAACCATATCGTTTGCACTCGCTGTCGTATGTCCTCGTACTATTGATGTGGTCACACAATTTCTCATTCACATTTGCTTATTTTTATGTTATGTTCAAATGGCTCATATTTTCGATTACAATTTTGACATAAATGATGTTATCTCTTGATAATAGATTTAAACAAATTATATTAATGAAAAATTTATTTATACAAGTTACTTACTCTCTGTATACAATATTTATCTTTACACCTTGGCCTGTATTTGACATTCAACTTTCGATACTGCATCGATATATTTGTACCTAAAATTTATCTAATATCTCGTTCTGCATCATTAAGAATCGTCTTGAAAAGATACAGTAACTTAAATTAAATGATTAAATTTACTTTTATCCAATTCATTTCGTAATTCTCTCTCTCTCTTCGCCTCTCTCTCGTCTCGTCCTCGTCTCTCTCTCTCTCTCTCTCTCTCTCTCTCTCTCTCTCTCTCTCTCTCTCTCTCTCTCTCTCTCTCTACCGCCACTATCCTCCACTATTTGTTCTCTCTTATGCGCATGATTGCACATATACGATTACATTTATCACTTTGCTGATAGTGATTCAACCTTTTTTGAAAACAATTGTTGCGTTGAAAACAATTGAGAATGCGCGTCACGTCGCCAAGGCAACCGTGTACTTTCTCACAATCTCAAACACAAGTCTAGGTCCTAGGGTATGATAGGGTTGGATACGGTGCACCGATCGAACGAGCATTAACGGCGTATAAGAGCGAATATCGCTGCAAATAGAATAATTAACGTGAATTCTTGTCGTCGCGTGGGAAAGGCAAGGAGAGAAATCATGAACGATTGCCTATCATTGAACGCGACCGCTAATCGCGTTGCTCATTTGGTGCGCGAAAAAGTAAGGATCAATTCACGATTCGGTTTCATGAGATAAGTCTTAGTCACTTCCAGCATCTAGGCAAAGATATCAAATCTGGGCATAAAAATAATAAAATATCTAGAGACTCGTGCATACACGATTACTGAAAACTGACTATTTAGTGTCTCTTTTCCCGCTTTCCGAGCTCTCGGGGTTCTCTGGGATCGTTCTGGATTGATATGCTCGCTACTACGCGTGCCGTAAAGATACGTAAAATTGAAACAAACAATTCACGCAATAAATAAAATGGATCGAATAAAAATATGAGTGCATTTTTGAATAAGGATTACCAGCATGCCGATGCTGGTATCGACACGGGGTGCAGACTGAAAAATACATCAAGTCAATTCTAGATGCCGGAAGTATATCAAAGCGTTAATGATCCGATGATGCGATAATGTGCGTAAGTAGCGAACGGGCTACTCCGCAAGTTTGATTTTTTAAACCAATTATAATTATAATGTTCAAACAAAATATAAGCTAGTTATGTAAGCCAAAGAGTAAATTAAATTATAAATTTAATAATGAATACGTTAATCAATTTAAACAGGAGGAAAAACGTGTCCAAGAACGTCGGCGTCACCTGATTTATCTAATCGCTGCCTTTTTACGAGAGCAAGGGTGAGCAAAGACGTCTACATCTTTATCTTATGTTTAATACTCCATGTAAAACGACCTATTAAACTTTTTAAAATGTCGATCGCTGTTAATGTCAAAATCTTAGGTATTTTCAGTAAGTAGTAAAGACACATATGAAAAAAACGAAAATATAAGCACGACGGACGAGCGAATATTTGTGATCAAAAGAAACTTGTATGCGAATTTCGTCCCAAATATTTGAAGCAATTATTACGAAACTTTACATTGTAATCTTTTAATTTAGAAATTAATATAAATTTGACAAGCAATAAACATAGCATATATAATTACGAAACAAAAATTATGCAAATATCGATGTGTTTTGTAGTTATTCCAATACCGTAGAGAGTCTCTTCAAAGAAGCTCAACTCTCCCGAGACATTAACGTGTGCGACAACATCGATCTGGAAACTATTATTCTCGAGTACGTCGATCATTATTATGCCAAGTACAACAGATATCCAAAATTATGTAAGAAGGCGGAAATCGGGAATGTCATACAAACTACGTAAGAAACATAGTCCATTCTCTAC